TTGACCACGCGGTTGACACAAGAAAAAACAAATGTGGCGAACAGGCGAGCGAACTGGACCCGCCAGGTTCGGCCGTTGGCAAAAGACAAAAAACTTCGCAAGCGGACGGACGAAGGTTGGAGTGGACATCGTCGGCCACGGATGTGTAGAGGGGGGATGATCTGTCACGGACACTCCACACCGATCGAGGAGACTTGTAAAGCCTTTGGGCGATGTGCTGATTCGGCGGGAAAATCAGCCGCGTTCGAACACATATGCTTTTCCACACGATACAAACCGAAACCGTCATCATAGACGCTTTGACGGCCATACCATTTAATATTATAACAAATTAAATAAAAACGTAAAAATAAAATATTATATAAATATTAAATGTTTATATATATATATATATATATATCAGAACCTCATTATAAAAATGTTTCATTATAATAAGTAAACATGTATAAACGTATAGTATGACTTATATTATTATAGAAAACCTCTGTAACCCAAAAATGAGTGCTGTAAGAATCAACCAAGCATTTTTGAGCCATTTCATAGATCAGCTAAGGATAACAATGAATCATCAATACCATGTGAACCCAAGGGATTCATATAGATATAACAATCCATCTTGTTTAAGGGGTCATATTAGTACCACCAACACAGAACTAGGAAATCCTTTCACAGAGGATCAAATAGAATTAATAACCGCGCATTTATGTAGCTTCATGCACCTCTCGACTTTGAGAAATAGGGAAAATAGAGCTCCATGTATGGTATTGTATGGGCTTTTAGGCCTAAAGAAAATGATTATCAATAGACTACTGAATATAAAGGGGTTATGTTTAAAAACTATTTTTTTTTTATGTATCAGTTATAATATATAATTGTGAATTTGTCATACTATACTAAATTAAAGAAAAATGTATTATATTATATTGTGTGTGTACTAACATAATCTAAGGAATAATTATACCACCAGAGTAATGCATTTATTTTTGTAAAGTATGAATATTGTATATTAGTCGTAAGACAACAGTTAGAGGTTTTCTTGAACATCAGCCCTCGTTTTGTGGGGGAGGTGTTGAGATAGCCAAGGTAATAAGAGTGACCACACGCGAAGATATTATTAAGACAGTATTACACACGGCATACGTGGCACAATATATTAATTACTATTAGTAAGTGTCACAAGGAAAAGTTGATAAAAGAACTGTTGCGAATACTTAAGTGGGACCACCTTGTGAAAGGCCATGTAATCTGACTGTTTGTCTAGTATATATAAAGGCCCTACATCAGGGAGACCAGACACTATTTCTGCGTGACGACTAGTTGACAGTATTCATGCTAGAGATATTTGTCTTAAGTTGTAACATTACTCTGAGTGTTTAAATACTAACCTACAACGTCAATAAAACTATAACAATAATTCATTTGTCTACGAGTAAATTAATTTGATTCGACCCTTGTCAACCGAACTCCACATCTGGATCGCAACAGATGGTTCAACAACTATGGTTTCATGTCCAAAAGTTTTAAGTCAATATAACAAACATATGAACTGTCGATAAATTTGACCAAAACAAAAAAATCATGTGAAATTAATAGAAAGGCACATAAATGGTGGCATAGATTATTTTTTGACTTTATTGACACAGCTATTGTTAATTCACATGTAATATATAAACAAACAACAAATACAAATATTACAATGAAAGATTTTCGTCGAGAAACATCTAGAAGTCTTGTTTCTAAGACATTGGTGGAAAAAGAGCAGCTCAGAATAAATCAAAAATAAGCCCAGTAGAGTTGAAAAAAAAACCATCTGTACCAAATATAATTCGTCTTGAACAAGCTGCTCATCAACCACAAAGAGGTACAAGAAGAAGATGTGCAAGATGTAGCACTAAAAAGAATGAGGTTCGTACAGAATCGATGTGCTGTGTGTGTAATGTTCCGTTGTGTCTGGGGAAAAATAAAAACTGTTTTGCACTTTACCACAATACACAGGAAGGGTAAGACTTTTACTAAAACAGTAAACACGTATTTACCAGTTTCATTAACTTTTTAATTTTTACTATTTCAGATTTTGCTCAAACAATTCATAGACCACCATGACAAAAGTACTGTAAATAAAAAACAAATTTTTATGGAAAAAATTGTTTTTATTGTATTTTATAACATTCAGTTATTTTTTATTAGAACTACTTTTAATTGTTTTTTTTTATAAATACACAATTTATGAAACATAATATGCATGTTTATCAAATTATAATTGTATGTATATAATAAGCGTATTATTATGCATCTAATCAATTAATAAAAGTTATTAATTTAAAATCTAATATCATTTTTATTTTATTGCTACCTAATACAATGTACCTAGCACATGCCGCGTGGTGCGACATACGCTATCCCACCTATAATAACTCTTTTTTTAAATGTTAAATTTTTTTTTTACTAAGATCGTATTATTCACCAAAATAATATTTGATTTTTATACTCAAATCAATAAATGTCTAAAAAAAAAGGTGCCTGTGCAGCATAGGTATAAAAAAAATTCAGACCCCTGTGCCGGAAAGAGTTAAAACACTGTACATTTTTTAAAATCGGCGCGAACGAACGTGAAAACGAAATACAACTTTTAAACACTTGTAAAAATTTAAAAACACTGGAAATTTTTTTAAGTCGGAGCAATCGAACGACAACGATAAATGTGTTGGTGCAGACTAAACCGATTCAGCTACACTCGGTTATATAGTATAAGCACAGGTACGCGATGAAGGACAAATACTTCCTGTGGTAGATACTTGTATTAACAAGCGTCTAGGGACAGAGAACCGAATGGAATTAAAATGGCGGGTTTTTATCATTAATTTACATTTAGATAAGAAAAATACACAATATGGTAACAGACCTTATTACAATATTTAAAAATACATAATAATTAATATAATAATAGTTTGACTCGGTGTATAAAGTATAAACAAATAATATTGTATAAAAATCAATTAGAAAAGTAAATAAAGTAATAAACAAAAATTATTATATAAAAATAATATAGTTGTCGAGGTACACAGATAAACAGAAGCTAAAGGTAAATAAATGTAAGATCGGATATAATATGTAATAACTAATAATATAATAATATGTATAATTGATATGAATAACTATAGTGCTCCGATGCGTAATATGTATAAAACAACGACTGATCGTCCTACAGGCTAGTACATATAACGAAAATGCTATAGAAATATAAAATGCCTATTCAGCATCTGCTGTACTACAGTGTGAAATGTGTGAATAATTTGCTTATAATCTAGGTATATAATACAGGGTGTGTTGTTTACATTCAACAATAGTCATGCATAAATCAATTAATTTGTGATTTTGTCAGTTTTACGCTGTGTATAAAGTAATATATAAATACTAAATAGGTAAGAATCATTAACTATTAAGCAGTATTATTTTTGAATATTAATGATGCACTGATATGATTTTGTTCTGTTATGCTTGGTGTTTCTAATACCTTTTCTAATACTTTCCTTGTTTTCTTGGTCGAGTATAAACGGCGTTGTGGTATGATTTTTTTATTTGTTGGTGATGTCTGAGAAGTTTTTCTTTTTAAGGTTGGTGTATTTGAATTATTTCTTATTGCTGTTAATGTCGGTATTATAGGTAAAAAAGATTTTTTCAAGACATTTAGTTCTTCAATGGTAGATATTTCATTCAACACTTTATTGAATGACTCTTGTAGTTTCCTTTTTTCCAATTCTAATGATAGCTGGCTTGTAATGGCTGAGTTATTTAATTGACTTAAAATATTGGAAGTTTCGTTGTTATGCTCACCGTCTGTGTTAGGCATGTTGTTTAAGTTGTTGTTCACAACTAAACAGTTTGTTAACATTAAAATATTTTCTTGATTTCTTATACTATATTGAAATTGGCAAACTAGATGAATATGTTTGAACATATTCCACTTAATTGCACTATCTATACAAGAGCATGTATAACAATGAATGCAAGAAAGACAGTCTTTGCATTGTATTTCACAATCACAGGAAGTTTTAAGTCTGTTCACTGTATACATTTCACTATATTTTTCGGATATGATGTCCCAACTATCTTCTGTTGCTTTCATAACCATTTCGTGTGACATTTCTAGACTGTTTTTGTGCCTTTTACGCAGTTCTTTTATTTTCAATGTGATTTTTCTTTTATGGATCACAATTAATCTATCTATAGAACGATCTCGAATAAACTTCATCAAAGCATATAAAGACTTGTCAAGGCGCTTTACCTTTTTTCCCTGTAAGTAAATATGCTTTAGTGTACGATGCATTCGTTCTATATGCATATTCGTATTAACTCCTGCATGAATTCGATGGCAGTATGCCGATGATTGAACACAATTTCCATATTGGCTTACGAAATAATTAGCAAATTCCCATGTTTGTTCATCAGCTGACATTTGATTAATAGCACTTTCAAAAATGTTTTCAAATGCTAAAGCATTTAGCGTCTTGTTCATGCAAATAATGTTCTTATAATTTTGTAAACTTCTGCTTGTTTTTCCTTAGATTTAACTTTAGTCAAATTTTTCCTCCATGCTCTATCTACATGTCATGTACAATATAGTCTAAATTTTGGTTGTTTCATTTCAACCAACCATGCATTAAAAAAACATTCGGCCATATCAGACATAAATACTTTTGGCTCAATTTGTCCGGTAAGAGCTGTATCCATTTATCTTATTCGAGCCTTGAGATTTTACCTGTCTAGGATATTTTAAATTGTATTGATGTTGTTATTATACGGTAGCTGGTAAGTTGAATTAATATTACTCATGTATTTAATTATTAACTTAAAATTATCAGTGATGCTGTAAAAATATTATAATACCTATTTACTTTTACATAAGA